ACCAGCTACGTTCAAAGTATAACACCCATAGATCCATTTTCACAGACGGATCCACGGATGATGGTCAAGTTGCCAGTGCTACAGGCATTGGATGCAAGACTCTAGAAATCCCGACAATAGTTTCATTTTGGCTGCTGAAGCCAAAGCTATCTTCCCAGCTTTGACCTATATTCAACAACAAAACTATCCCCAAAAGTTCACCATTTTAACAGATTCATAATCTTGCCTTCAAGCACTACAAAGTGTTCAAGTCACCCAATCATCCTGGACATTTTGCAACTTTACAACGATCTTTCTACTGGCCTCTGCTGGTTGCCGGGTAACACAAAGGTCAATGCTGCAGCAAAAGCTTCTTTGAAAAAGCCACTGCTGATACCGTACAGTGATTTCAAACCCACTATCAAAAGTTATAGTCGGGACCTCAGGCAAAATAAGGTGGGACACCCAAGTAGGAAGAACTAAACGTATGGGTAGTTGCATACTAATCTCGTACGTCACTCGAGTGTCGTATCACGTTGACCTGTGTCGTAAGGACTTGACCTGAGATTCTCACGATTTGATTGGATAACCGATCAGCTCTCAGTTAGCTCACGTTGTGACGGAACTACTTGTTCATTCATAACAAACACGTGAATTCATTCATTCTACAACTTAGATGCATTGTGGGAATGTAACAAATGCGAACGTTCCCGTATCGCTGTTTATTTGTGAGTCGAACTGAGACATTATATCCGTCGAAAAACATAAACGCAATGCTTCCACCAGTGATGTTAGCCGAGTGAAGCAATTGCAAACCAAGGGGTGCTACGGAGTAGTTTACTGTAGGAAGCTGTACTAGGCGATGACAGCTGACATGCATCGTGACGTCGGTTACCAAGGGACAGACGAGAATGGTGTAGTGACGTCAATACAGTGTGACGTAAAGTAATATATAAAATAAAATATAAAACGTGGGTAATAAATAAAATACCACACTCGGTCTCATCACATACGAATTATAAGAAACTCGTGACTTTCCTATGGCTTCTGACCTCGCTCCTATGGTTTCGCTTTCGCTCGGTCATATATCATAGGAAAGACACTCGTTTCGTATGTAATGAGACCTCGTGTAGTATTCTCTATATTCCTACTTGGGTTGTCAGTTAAGATGCGATGAGGTAACTTTACGACGATGTCGTATTGGCCAAAGTCGATTTACTCATGACTATCTGCTGAAAACGGATTGGGATGGACCTCCCATGTGTGTCTCTTGCGATGAAGTGTTCACCATCAAGCATATTCTGTTTGACTGTGTGGACTTTTCGACTGCAAGGAATTCACATTATGATGCGAGTAATCTGAAAGATCTATTTTCCCGCGTGAGTGGGCATCTCATTCTTAACTACCTGATGGAAGTTGACCTGTATCATAAAGTGTAAATATGTAACGTGAATAACAAATTGCTGGCTTTGGAATTTTAGTGCTATGACATTTTTTGTTTTTAAAAAATATATTAATGAATACACATGTTCGTAAACTACAACTCATTTCAACATTGTACTTATAATGTTTATGAATGCAGGCTTGTTCTCGTCGCTATATGGTTGGAATAATGCCGATGTGACTTAAAGCCCAATTCAACTCAGCTAATAATAATAAGAAGAATAGGGATATTTATAGAGCACCCACCAATGCATGCTCATGACAGTGAGAACCTATGTACAGGGAGAATGAAGATTCAACGAAAGGCTTTAGTGAAGAAAAGCGTCTTAAGATTTTTTTGAAAGAATCAGTTGTTTCAGAAAGTTTTATGTTGAGTGGCAAAGAGTTCCATAGGAGTGGAGCAACATGTTGAAAACTTTTCTTTCCGTTGGAAGAGAGGCTAGCCGGGGGAACTACCAGTAGATGCTGATTTTGAGAACGAAGAGTCCAGGATGGAACATACTGGGTTAACAGGGATGGTAGATATGAAGGAGCAAGATTGTTGAGACACTCTGCTTGGTTATGTACTTCCCGATTGTGTCGATGGTACGAAGATGTTGGTAGCAGATCTTACACAGATGTTCAATTTGTGAGGACATGGATGGGTCAGACTGCATCTGCACTCCTAGATGCTTGACTTGTTTTGAGGGACAGATGCAAGCAGAGGCAATCTTCACTCGATCCATATTCACCTTGTATTGCTGTCTTCTCACTAACAATACCTGTGTTTTCTCGTCATTTAGTTTTAGTTTCCTTTCAGTCATCCACGATTTTATTCAGATGTGCAATTTCAATCTGCTGAAGGGTACTAAGTAAAGAAACTATATTGAATTTGTTTATCAGTTCCACATCACCAGCATATGAGAAGTGAAGAGTGTCAAACTTGTCAGATGACTGACATAGATAAGAAATAAAACTAGACCCAGTGCTGAACCTTGTGTGGTCTTTAAGGATCTCCTCAGGTCCAGCAATTCATAGAACAGGTCTTGGCAGGACTTGATGTGTTTGTGCAATCATCGACGATGTGTCTATTTCTGAAAGATGATAACGAACACCTTTCAAACATTGACAAGGTTCTACAGAGTATCCGGAGTGCGAGTCAAGGCCGAGAAGTGTCACTACATGAAGGACTCGGTAGTATACACTGGTCTGAGAATATTAGCTGAAGGAGTCTAACCCACCAAAGAAAGGTTGAAGCAAGAAAGCTCCAGTTACATGAACTTCGATCATGGTTGGGAATGTTAAACTTCCAGGCCAAGTCTATTTTAAACATTTCTACTATCATCCATCCATTGAACGACTGTGAGGTCGCATTCAGGAATGCTAAGAATGCAATTACCTTTGAAAGACTGTTACCACACTACGACCCAGAACTGCCGCTGTTTTTGGGAGCTGACGCTGCGCTTGCCCAGATTGTTCACAACGACCGATAGCTGATACATCAAGGAATCTCAACAAAAACACAAAAGACTTTGGACAGCTTGGCAAGGAGGCACTTGCTATTATTTTGGGACTAAAGAGATTCAGAAACAACCTCTACGGACGAAGATTCACTATGTTAACAGATCACCTCTGATAAGGATATTAGGCCAAAGACAGCTGCTCCGACGCCGCTCAAAGACTACAGAGATGGGCTCTCTTATTGTCCACTTTCAATTACGATCTTCAGTTCATTCCTTCATGACAAAATGAATTGGCAGACGCGTTGTCATGTCTTCCTCTAGCAGATGACACGGATTCACTGTACCAAGTGGAAGACAAACGACTCAACAGCTCAGATATTGCTCAGACTACGAAGAGATATCCCACTCTATCACGAGTGATGCATTTTACTCGCACAGGATGGCCAACAGAGATAGGCGAAGCTCTCAAACCCTACTTTAATTGAGAGATGAAGTTGTCTGTGGAGCAAGACTGTGTATTGCTAAGACTGAGAGTAGGTATTCCAAAAAAAGCATCAGGATGACATTCTTAACGAGGTTCACGTGGCTCATCCTTGAATCGTTCGAATGAAGGAAGTTGCTCGCAGCTTTGCTTGGTGTCCCAATTGCAACATCAACGTAGACACCGAATCGATTGTGAAACAGTGTAAGAGTTGTCAACAAAGCACTCAAAGTGTGGCTCCACTTACACCATGGGTAAGGTCACTAAATCCATGGAGGAGAATGCATATTGACTTTGCAACTAAAGAAAACCATGACTATCTCATAGTTGTCGACGCTCATTCCAAGTGGCCAGAAATGATACTTATGAAAAGTACGACGGCTGGGGCAACAACAAATGTACTCAGAGACTTGTTCAGCAAGTACAGCTTATCGCACCAGGTAGTAAGTGGTAACGGCCCACAATTCCGAAGTGAGGAATTTAATCAAATCTTGAAGATGAACGGAGTAAAACTTGTGAAAGGCGACCCATGCCACGCAACTAGTAACGGTGCAGTAGAAGGGATGGTTGAGACGTTCAAGAACAGTCTTGCAGCCAGCAAAACGAATTAACTGACAATTTAACAGTGTATTGCACGCTTCCTGCTGCAATATCACACGACGCCTCACACAGCGACAGGACGGACATCAGCAGGTTTATTCATGGGCAAAGAACTTAGGGAAAGGATAACCCTTGTTCGTCCAGATCTGCAAGGAAAAGTTTGGAAAAAATGGACAGATCAAAAACTTCTCCACCACAAGGAGAAGGGACTCCCCATGTTCTACCCAAGAGATCAAGCAAAGATCAAGGACGTGGGACGTGACGGAACATGGTGGAGTGGAACGATAGCAAAACGCATATGTTGTGGTGCTAGAGGACGATAGGGTGTGGAAACGACATATTGATCATCTGACAAACCAGTGGATAATTCAAGTATGTTGTGTTGTGAAAAAGACTAAACCATTTCATTTTAAAGTTGGAGATCGAGTGAGATTGAATCATCTCAGTAACATCTGTAGCAGAGAATACAACGAGAAATAGAATGGGGAAACATTCACTACTCTCGGAAGCTACTGAAACACTATGATGGAGAAATTCAGGGCACCTTCTACCAATCAGATCTTCATAAAGAGGACGTAAGAGACGACGATGTATGAAAAGTGGAGACTGTACTGAAGACCAGAGGAAAAGGACTTAATAAGCAATATTTTGTAAAATGGCTTCACTGATAAATTCAATTTTTGGGTGAAAGCGTCTGATATACATTCACTGTAAATATTTGCATATATTGTAAGAGTACACACAGCATGGTCTTAGACATCCACACTGTACACTCACATTTCACCATTGTAGCTCAATGGGTATATGGAAGGTATACCAGATGTACATACAATATTCGGATCTTGTGGACCAACAGGGGGTCCAGACTCGCCCGTTTGTTAGACGAAAGTCAAAGCAGTCCTCAGGACGGAGAAATAGGCTGATGCTATTTCATAGCCTCACATATCCGAAGAAACGTTTGACTGGAACGTCATTTTTGGCACGAGACAGCATCATACGTTATTAACGAGTACTAGTGGGGAATACATTTGATGGTTAACGTTCGTACTTCTTACCTAGTGTGTAATCAGCCACACAGATCAGCACCATGATGGCGATCAGTGCCATAGTTACCTGAAAATGAAATATACACAGCTTAATGTATCATATACTCATTATGACTGGTATAAGAAAAGATGTTATGGATGTCAACTTCTTCTTTATTGTTTACACAACGTTTCTGGACTATTCCTTGCCCCGTCGTCAGGTGGATACTAACTAACGAACGAACGAAATTAATAGTTTAACGTCGGCTTTTAGCAGTTGTACATGAAGCCAGGGTGATGTTTTTAAGCATGTATATACAATAAACAGCAGATTATAAGATAAAAGAGAATAAAATGTACAAAAACAGATATGGTGTTGTTACAATAGATAAAGTGGGTAATCGGTAGAAGCCAATGAGTCTGATTGGTGTACAATAGAGTGGCTGATAGTCTCACACTATACAACAGCTGGCATGAGATACTAAAGGTGGGGATGAGGCTGTACAGTGGATTAATAGGTTATTGGTGAAGCATTGAGTCTAATTAATTTCCCAGGCATTAGGTAGGTAAACCCCTTGATCTCTGTTAATCTGTGGTGCTAATCTTTTGATGCTGATAGACTCTGAAATCTTGCGTCGTCGCCAAACATGGATGTTGGATGCAATGATGGTTGTTGCTTGCCAATCAATGGTATGTGATGGATTGTTCACAATATGTTCAGAAAGGGCCGATCTTAGATCTGATTTCTCTACCGACGTTTTGTGCTCTTTGAGCCTCATGTCAATGAGGCGGGATGTCTCTCCTACATAGCGGCTGCTACAGTCACACAATCCCATCATCATGACTAACACTGAACATCTATGGATGTATACCTAGTCAGACTAGCTCCTACTTTGTCGAAATGAAAAACACTTACTTTAACTTTATCCCCGGTCCGTCTTGCTGTGTAGATGAAGACCGCCGCTCGATGTCTGTCGCCTGACCGTTGTTTTAATATCTTTATACTCTGATTCTTGTGTACGTTCTCAGTTTCGTCTTCCTGTTGACGACGACAAACCGGGCGTGTACCTGGTCACCTCATAGTCACAACAGTGGTTGTCTGACGGAAATGTTCAAGTTTTAGACTGGTCCAGCTACAGCCCAGATCTTAACCCTATTGAGAATGTGTGGGGACTAATGAAGGACAGATATTAAGACAGTATTTCTGTGGTGCAGACGTTAAGACAATACTTGTGTTGTGAAGATGCTAAGACAATACTTGTTGATGCAGACGTTAAGACAATACCTGTGTTGATGCAGGCGTTAAGACAACACTTGTGTTGTGCAGACGTTAAGACAATGCTTGTGTTGTGAAGATGCTAAGACAATACTTGTGTTGTGCAGAAGTTAAGACAACACTTGAGTTGATGCAGACGTTAAGACAATTCCCTCTCTTGATGCAGACGTTAAGACAATACTTGTGTTGTGCAGACGTTAAGACTATGCCTGTGTTGTGTAGACGTTAAGACAATACTTGTGTTGTGTAGACGTTAGGAAAGTACTATCGTTGTGCAGACATTGAGACAATTCTTGTGCTGATGCAGACGTTAAGACTATACTTGTGTTGTGCAGACGTTACAACAATACTTGTCTTGTGCCGATGTTAAGACAGTACTTGTGTTGTGCAAACGTTAAGATTATACTTATGTTGTGGAAACGTCAAGACAATACTTGTGTTGTGCAAACGTTAAGACAGTACTTGTGTTGTGCAGATCTTAGTATAGGTATTCTGTTGTGCAGACCTTAAGATAGTTCTTCTGTTATGCCGACCTTAAGATAGTTATGTTGTGCTGACCTTAAGACAGTATTTGTGTTGTGCAGACCTTAAGATAATTCTCAGGCTACTTTGATTTAACGTGTGCCGATCACGTGTGAGGTGGTGAGGTGTAGACTGTTAGATGTTAGATGTAGGATCACGATAATGTGCTGCCGAGCCATGCATGCCTGGGATGTCGACTGTGTAAAGTCTAATGGCACATCTTACATCAAACAGTTGACATTTACACAGACACGTGGCTTGGAAACAGACACCGCTGATACTTACATCTTACCATACAATAATACGAGTAACAGTGGATTTGTATTTGCGCTTTTTCCATACTTTGATATTATGCTCAGGATATTATGCTCAGGATATTATGCTCAGGATATTATGCTCAGGATATTATGCTCAGGACATTATGCTCATACTTGGATATTATGTTTAGTCCTTAGTGAGTACTGATCAGATGAATGCTTGGCGGAAAGGATGGGTTTTGATAGATGTTTTGAAGGCAGAACAGGTTTGACATTGGCGGCCATCAAGAGGGAGATTGTTCCAGACGTTTGTATATATAGTATAATGATATTGCATAAGCTGGGAACAATTTCCTCCCGTAACTAGAGAGTTTCACTACTGGGACAGTAAACAGATGTCTGGATTCAGACTGAATGGTTCTGCTGGGACAGTAAACAGATGTCTGGATTCAGACCGAATGGTTCTGCTGGGACAGTACAATGGAAGTAAATCACAGAGGTACTGTGGAGCTGTTTGAGAGTAGCATTGGAATTCCAGATAAAGGAGCTTAAAGTCGATTCGTTGTTTTACCGGAAGCCAGCGTTTTCGTAGCTTCTTAAGTGAGACAGAGTCTAATTTTGCCGATGTTTCTTAATTGTAGGGTGCACACCTTCGAGAGGTGACTTTGACAGTCTAAGAACAGAATCGATGACAGCCCCGAGGTCTTTCACATGGGATGACGCTATAGCATATAATGTTCATCCAAAGTTTGATTTCTTGCATGTGCCTGTTTATGTGTTGTGTAGGCATCTAGATGTAAGAATGTGTGTGTGTGTGTGTGTGTGTGTGTGTGTGTGTGTGTGCGTGCACGCGTCCGTGTAATGTATACGTGTACACTACTGCATTTGCACGAACGCTGATCACAGTTCAAACCTCTGGGACATCATCTGTTGACCTGAAAAAATGGTGTGCAGTTGGTTTGGTGTTAATGAAATGCATCATTAATTTAAAGTAGCATTTGAACATCACGCCTTCACATGAAATGGATAATTTAATACTGAACACGGTATTGTAACTAACATTGATTCGATACATCTGCAGCAAGGAAGTTTCCTTATCAAACAAATCCCATGACTCTCTGTTTCCCTTTTTAATCAATATGTCAATATCTTAGATCAAGATAGTCTTCCATGAAGACATGTAGCGGAGACGGAAATACAAACTTACTTGAAAACTTCATGATTCTTCAGGAGTGTTCAGTTTATTCCTTTGCCTTGTTTAATATTCATTTTCATGTTCCTGAAAAAGCGGCAAATATTCCATCACATGAGTATACACTTGCCTTCAACAAACTGAACTGACTGACTGACTGAGTTTGGTTTTACGCCGCTTTTAGCAATATTCCAGCAACATCACAGCGGGGGAGACCAGAAATGGGCTTCACACATTGTACCCATGTGGGGATTCGAACCCGGGTCTTCGACGTGACGAGCCAACGCTTTAACCATTAGGCTACCCCACCGCCCCTCAACAAACTGAAACAAACTGTAATTGATTTCTGTTATCTAAATTGCAATTTGCAGCAAAAAATGAAAAATAATGTATACACTACGTAGGAGCTGAGGTTACTAGTGAAGGGTGAGGGTCGTTTATCAAAAAGCAATATCATGGCAAATCTCCTCAACTGCATGTTGATATGGCCAAAGGTAAATATCTGGGGAGGTCAAAAGTCATAAATGTCACCTTGATGATGGTGAGACACCCACTTTACATTTCAGGCAGATATCTTTTTATAAATCTATTTACACAAAGTGACTAAGCTATTGCCGGCGATACAACACAGTGCATGTCCCACTGCCGTACTCGCAGTTACACAACACAACACGAAATGGACTTTGGCTGATAGTAGTGTGCAGCACACGTCGCTACATGCATGTCTGGCTAAACTAGACAACATAGTCCTAAATTAGATTGTCCCTTATCAACATGGAGTATCAAACAAGATATTAGACTACAATGTGATTTCGACCCTGTGTCACTGTGACCTCCAGCACGAGTAGGGTGGGGTCCCTCTGTATGTCTGTACAGTATGTAAGGGCACACTTTACCCCTGGAGTACACTTTTCATAAACATACTCCCTGTAGTCACCGTCAGTGAAGCCATTCATTGTCGGTATGAGGTTGGTGGCGATTTAAGCATAAAAGGGTGATGCGCTTTGTTCGCAAATGATTCACTGTGGAGGCCGCTTTGGCGGAATGGGTTGGATGGCTGACTTCGTGTGCTGGCGATTAGGTGCTTGGCTCTGATATCGTGGGTTCAAATCCCGGATGGCATTGATATTAATAAGAGTACTAGAATCTGAACTTAACGGGCAAATACTGCTGCTGGTCACACACTGTCATGTATACGGTATACAGACAGGACCACCATGTCATCCCACGTTTGTATTTTTAGTATAATGATATTGCACAGGTCACACTCTGTCATGTATACGGTATACAGACTGGACCACTATGCCACCCAATGTTTGCATTTTTAGTATAATGATATTGCACTGGTAACACACTGTCATGTATACGGTATACAGACTGGACCACTATGCCACCCCACGTTTGTATTTTTAGTATAATGATATTGCACAGGTCACACATTGTCATGTTTACGGTATACAGACTGGACCACTATGCCACCCCACGTTTGTATTTTTAGTATAATGATATTGCACAGGTCACACATTGTCATGTTTACGGTATACAGACTGGACCACTATGCCACCCCACGTTTGTATTTTTAGTATAATGATATTGCACTGGTCACACACTGTCATGTATACGGTATACAGGCTCGAGCAGCATGTCATCCCACGTTTGTATATATAGTATAGTGATATTGCACAGGTCACACACTGTCATGTATAGGGTATACAGACTGGACCACTGTCCCGCCCCACGTTTGTATCTTTAGTATAATGATATTGCACTGGTCACACACTGTCATGTATACGGTATACAGACTCGACCACCATGTCATCCCACGTTTGTATATATAGTATAATGATATTACACTGGTCACACACTGTCATGTATACGGTATACAGACTGGACCACTATGCCACCCCACGTTTGTATTTTTAGTATAATGATATTGCACAGGTCACAAATTGTCATGTATAGGGTATACAGACTGGACCACTATGCCACCCCACGTTTGTATTTTTAGTATAATGATATTGCACTGGTCACACACTGTCATGTATACGGTATACAGGCTCGAGCAGCATGTCATCCCACGTTTGTATATATAGTATAATGATATTGCACAGGTCACACACTGTCATGTATAGGGTATACAGACTGGACCACTGTCCCGCCCCACGTTTGTATCTTTAGTATAATGATATTGCACTGGTCACACACTGTCATGTATACGGTATACAGACTCGACAACCATGTCATCCCACGTTTGTATATATAGTATAATGATATTACACTGGTCACACACTGTCATGTATACGGTATACAGACTCGACCACCATGTCATCCCACGTTTGTATTTTTAGTATAATGCTATTGCACTGGTCACACACTGTCATGTATACGGTATACAGACTGGACCACTATGCCACCCCACGTTTGTATATATAGTATAATGCTATTACACTGGTCACACACTGTCATGTATACGGTATACAGAGTCGACCACCATGTCATCCCACGTTTGTATATATAGTATAATGCTATTACACTAGTCACACACTGTCATGTATACGGTATACAGACTGGACCACTATGCCACCCAATGTTTGTATTTTTAGTATAATGATATTACACTGGTCACACACTGTCATGTATACGGTATACAGACTGGACCACTATGCCACCCCACGTTTGCATTTTTAGTATAATGATATTGCACTGGTCACACACTGTCATGTATAGGGTATACAGGCTCGATCAGCATGTCATCCCACGTTTGTAGATATAGTATAATGATATTGCACAGGTCACACGCTGTCATGTATAGGGTATACAGACTGGACCACTATCCCGCCCCACGTTTGTATTTTTAGTATAATGATATTGCACTGGTCACACACTGTCATGTATACGGTATACAGACTGGACCACCATGCCACCCCACGTTTGTATTTTTAGTATAATGATATTGCACTGGTCACACACTGTCATGTATACGGTATACAGACTGGACCACTATGCCACCCCACGTTTGTATTTTTATTATAATGATATTGCACTGGTCACACACTGTCATGTATACGGTATACAGACTGGACCACCATGTCATCCCACGTTTGTATATATAGTATAATGATATTGCACTGGTCACACACTGTCATGTATACGGTATACAGACTCGACCACCATGTCATCCCACGTTTGTATTTTTAGTATAATGCTATTGCACTGGTCACACACTGTCATGTATACGGTATACAGACTGGACCACTATGCCACCCCACGTTTGTATATATAGTATAATGCTATTACACTGGTCACACACTGTCATGTATACGGTATACAGAGTCGACCACCATGTCATCCCACGTTTGTATATATAGTATAATGCTATTACACTAGTCACACACTGTCATGTATACGGTATACAGACTGGACCACCATGCCACCCAATGTTTGTATTTTTAGTATAATGATATTACACTGGTCACACACTGTCATGTATACGGTATACAGACTGGACCACTATGCCACCCCACGTTTGCATTTTTAGTATAATGATATTGCACTGGTCACACACTGTCATGTATAGGGTATACAGGCTCGATCAGCATGTCATCCCACGTTTGTAGATATAGTATAATGATATTACACTGGTCACACACTGTCATGTATAGGGTATACAGACTGGACCACTATCCCGCCCCACGTTTGTATTTTTAGTATAATGATATTGCACTGGTCACACACTGTCATGTATACGGTATACAGACTGGACCACTATCCCGCCCACGTTTGTATTTTTTAGTATAATGATATTGCACTGGTCACACACTGTCATGTATACGGTATACAGACTGGACCACCATGCCACCCCACGTTTGTATTTTTAGTATAATGATATTGCACTGGTCACACACTGTCATGTATACGGTATACAGACTGGACCACTATGCCACCCCACGTTTGTATTTTTATTATAATGATATTGCACTGGTCACACACTGTCATGTATACGGTATACAGGTTGGAACAGCATGTCATCCCACGTTTGTATATATAGTATAATGATATTGCACTGGTCACACACTGTCATGTATACGGTATACAGACTGGACAACTATGCCACCCAATGTTTGTATTTTTAGTAAAGTGATATTGCACCGGTCACACACTGTCATGTATACGGTATACAGACTGGACCACTATGTCATCCCACGTTTGTATATATAGTATAATGATATTGCACTGGTCACACATTGTCATGTATACGGTATACAGACTGGACCACTATCCCGCCCCACGTTTGTATTTTTAGTATAATGATATTGCACTGGTCACACACTGTCATGTATACGGTATACAGACTGGACCACCATGCCACCCCACGTTTGCATTTTTAGTATAATGACATTCCGCACAGGTCAAAAACTGTCATGTATACGGTATACAAACAGGACTACTATGCCACCCCTAGTTTGTATTTTTAGTATAATGATATTGCACTGGTCACACACTGTCATGTATACGGTATAGAGGCTCGATCAGCATGTCATCCCACGTTTGTAGATATAGTATAATGATATTACACTGGTCACACACCGTCATGTATACGGTGTACAGACTGGACCACTATGCCACCCCACGTTTGTATTTTTAGTATAATGATATTGCACTGGTCACACACTGTCATGTATACGGTATACAGACTGGACCACTATGCCACCCCACGTTTGTATTTTTAGTATAATGATATTGCACTGGTCACACACTGTCATGTATAGGGTATACAGACTGGACCACTATGCCACCCCACGTTTGTATTTTTAGTATAATGATATTGCACTGGTCACACACTGTCATGTATACGGTATACAGACTGGACCACTATGTCCATGATACATGGCTGCACAGCTCCTGTGAGCGATAAACTGAAATGAAGATTCAAGATACCATATCTGTGTAAATGTTTTAATTAAGTTACAGCCGTAGAACAACATCTTGCAAGTTCATATTGAAATATTTGGTAAACACTCAATCAGTTTGAACAATGAATGTAAAAAATATGTGTGTCTTAAACTCACATACGTCATAAACTGAAATAGCAAGGTGACTCACTATGCGTAGTGAGATGGAGCGACAAAGGCACAGGTCAGATATTACAACACCATGCAAACTGAAACGTAGAATCAATTAGAAGAAATATTTATTAAATGTTCTATAGCGTCAAGTGTCCTTTAAATAGTCAGTGGCAATGAGAAATGACAAAGGGCCCGATGGGATGGACAAGTGATGTTGTTGTGGAGGCTTATACAGAAAGTACAATGAAGTTTGAGTCAGGTACTCTATCAAATTTTAGACTGAATTTTGCAACCCAAAGAAGTGAATTTTGTTTTAGTAAACACATACCAGCAAACAACTGAATGGAATTTCTAAACTTGTAAAACATTGTAATGTCAAGTCCACGTTTTATTTCTTCTGACACACATATCCACATTCAGCAGATATATCACAGCATAAGTATAAAGATAACAACACGATGAAACCAGGCTACAACATATATACAGTAGCAGGGAGTGGACGGGAGCTATCTGTTATCTGTTTTAGCCCTGGTTGGTTTCTGAATGAAATGTCTTTGAAGATTGACTGTGTAATGTTTTCGGTTCATGGAGGTATGAACTGAAAAAAATGAAACTGTATGAATTCTATACATGCATGTGAAGTAGAGAATGTTGTACATGTATGTAAGACTGTATTGGAATTCCCAGGCTGTCCCATGTGTTGAAATTCGGAGGTGGGCGTGGTTTAATTTTTATGCTCATTGCTAATTGAAAACATATGACCAATTCAGCAAATCAGAATACTGGAATTACAGGGGCTGGAGATCGGTGTTATGATTCGGTGAAATAATACACAACATTACCAGTCAATATGAAAACAGTGGTCATTTAGTGGACATGACCTTATTTAGGGTTGGGGGTGGAGTATGGAGTAAGTGAGTTAAATGCACCGTCACATCGGTAATATTTCAGAAATATCTTGACGAGACAAAATCATATTATTGATATCAAGCATACTGACATTTTTTAAGTACTGCCGCCGAAAATTATCACAATCATCACAATCAGTTGAAAGTTCAGCAAATCGGATTGCAGGAAGTACAGGGGTACAAGATCCGTTCAGTGAAATAATGCAAAATGTTATCAGTCAATATAAAAACAGGGCGTGGTCTTATTTAGGATTGGGGGTTGGTTATGGAATGAGTGAGTATTAAAAATGTACAGTCAAATTGGCAATATTTCAGAAATACCGTGACGAGACAGATCGTATATTAATATTAAGCATACTTCCATTTATGTCTTCAAAAGGATTGTATAATAACAATATTATCATAATCAATCAATCAATTGTCACTATCAGTTACGAACGCAATATAAAGGGGCTAGCGACCGCAAGTTACCAAATAACATGGATTCACCTGTACATGGAATCTCTCTTGCAATTTAAACATTTTAGACTTTCTTTGTGCTCATGGAATGTTAATAGTTCCCGCTTTAACTGTTTTATAGTGACCGAAGGATTGTTATGGTATAAGGGAGACAACTATCACAAACTATTCGCTCAGCTTTCATGCTATACGTGTAAGAAAGGGAAATATCGTCCATTGCATTAACTGACCGGAAACATGACATTCAGTATCGGTGTAAACAACAGGACTGTTTGCAGACAGTTGGGCAGGTAGCTAGACATTACATAGTGGTGTCACACACACATGTAAACGTGGCTAATGATAATACATCCTCTACGATATACAGCAACAAACATGCATTGGTGTGGTGGACAATCCGGATTTGTCCCATCACACATTAAATATCAAAGCAAGATATATGAACAGCAGGTAACATCTTGCAGCAGATCCTCTGTTCTGCCTCCATGTGTTGAGACACTGCAAATGTTCACGTGCACACCAACCGACTGTCTTGGTGGATGGGATACAATGAGATGCATGTTTGGACATGCAAGCTGACTGACTGACCTTTCAGTGATTGCGGGTCATATTGTCCAGCAATGCTGTCACCTGAAGGAGGGCAGCAGCATCTATTCTTTTGTTACACTTTGCCAGCTCTTATTCAGTTTGATTTCCTGAAATTCCTACTCATCCAAGACGAATACTGAACTGTTTCCTACATATCAGTGGGGGATGCATCTCGAGCAAGAAATGTATCATCCTACCAGTCATACTACAGGTTGTGCTCCGTCACCTGTACACGATGACGAGGAATACAAGACTCACAACTTTTCAGATAAGCAGTGAAGTAATTCTATTATACGGGCATTTTCAGTTGGAGAATTAACGAGTCCTCCTTTCAGTTATTTCATGATGCCATCATGTGACACAAGCAGGTTGCACACGTCACTTCCATCTGTCGCCAGCATGGTTGCTGTTTCACAATGCTTGTTCCTGGCGTTGATGTCCACAATCCCTTGAGAGAGGACATGCTTCACTATATCAAGATTCCCCTCCCTCAGAAGCAAGATGAAGGATGTTGTTACTGTCAGCATCTTCTGGTGTTGCATCAGCTCCTTTATTAATAAGTAAGTCAAATATTTCTTTATCCCCATTCCTAGCTGCGATCATCAGAGGTGTCCTACTGCACTGACCACGACTGTTTATGTCCACCCTGTCTAGCTTGAGGACACGGCTCACAATATCCACATGTGTCCCCAGACAGGCCACATGGAGGACGTTGTCACCAGCATCATCAGATTGTGTCGGATTAGCCCCTTTAGTCACAAGTAGGTCGAAGATCTTCCCATGTCCTTTGTATGCTGCCGCCATCAACGGAGTGCTTCCGGAATGTCCTCTACCATTGATGTTCGCGTCGTCATGTGAGAGAATGTAGTCAACAATCTTCACACATTCCCACCCCAACAGGCGAGATGAAGGATGTTGTTTCCATATGTGTCCACTTGTGAAGGAAGACCCCCTTTACTTACAAGTAAATGAAACATGTCTTTATTTCCCTGCCGAGCTACATACATCAATGGGGTTCTACCATACCGCCCTCTACAGTTGGTGTCCCCAATGTTCTTTGAGGCGACATGTTTCACCATTGCTACATGTCCTCCAACACAGGCCCAGTGGAGGATGTTGTTACCGATATCATCCACACGCTTGACATCAGCACTTTTCTTCACAAGTAAGTCAACCAGTTCTCTGTGTCCCCTTCTTGCTGCCCACATCACTGGTGTCAAGCCTTCTTTCCCTTTCTTGTTGATATCGTCGATGCTGTGCCCCAGGATGTCTCTGACTCGCTGTAGCTTCCCTTTTGTGCAGGCGACTATGAGGTCAGTGTCCTCTGTAACACCAAGATCATACTGATGATCATAGGCATCTTACGAAAACAAAAGTTGAATCTAACAAGACAGAAATAGTATATGAGAAGTTTTCAGTACGTGGGTAGTATATATGTCAAAACCGAAGAACGGTTACATATTGAGTATCACAACCAACTACTCATGTGCTAAGCTTCTTTTTGATTTGACCAAAATGACCCGACATGACAATTAATAGCATTTGGTGCGGTATATTAGCATATGACATTTGATATGAACAGATATGTGAAGTTTGAAATGAAGTTGCCATGCCGGATAATTCACGAATGCTATCGTATAGTCAGGCCATGACATAATCTCACTAGTGATTCAAGAAAGATAAACTTTCATAGCAACTTGTAACTGCATTCTTACCTCTACCAGGGATAAGATTTACTCCAAGTGCCTCGTCGTTCGGGCCTGACAAAGAGAAATACCATAGAAAATACTTCAGTTGGGTCCTAATCTGAATGCAAATAGAGAATGGTATGGGATCATGATAATCTGTGGTTCTAAAGGAGTTCCGAGTTAGGCTTTCAGTCACCTTTACCTTCATGTACATGCCTTATAATTTATATATGTGCCTTTCAGTCACATAAAACAGCGGAAACTGTAAAGCTAGAATGACGATAAGAGCTTGACGTACACGTTACTAAAATATCACAATAAGGGAGAAGTAATTACGTAGATCACAGCTACAGTTGCCTTTATGTATTGGCTCCTCCGGGAGTTACAACTAAAGTAGAATATGTTCATTAGTAAGTCGGAGTAGACACACCCCTGGGTTGTTACAACTGAAGAGTGGAATGTGTCTCAGTCAACTCTCCTGACACTTAACACGCCAAGAACCTTTCCAGATGGATTCAAATCATTGTGTTCTATGTTTGTTCAAGCAGCATCAAAGGCTTACGAACGTTGGACCTGTCCTCGCACTGCCAGGCTGTGAGATAACTGTACCAAATGTACTCACTAACACTGATACACAGAAGTTGCCAGAACTCCGTGGGTATTGATGTGTGAAACCACTTGAATTATTCAGCCTCTGATTTCATACTTACCTTTGCGCTGATGTCTGAAACAGAACAAGAAACAAATAACACAACTAAATGCAAACAAATAAACAAACATATTGGAATTATTATTTATCTGCTTTCAGTGTGAAATACTTTTCTTGTGTTCATTATTGCATATGGAACTTATAATAAGACTTTTCTTATTTGGTGAGCAGAGGAAAACAGATATGTGCCTATGTTTTATCCAAAGAAACTCTACTTGCTTGGTATTTTGACAATTCCATCAACTGACATACCTGGTAAGAAACACATCGCGGTGAACAAACGGTTTGTGGTAACAAGCAGTAGAATCTAAATAGCACATATTGAAAGGCAACTACACTAATAATGTTTTAATGAAAATATTCATACCTCCTGCGCCACCTGCAGAGTAGAATCACTGCAATGATGATGATGATGATGATGGTTATGACCAACACAGGGACAAGTATCGGTACCAGTGGTGATGAAGCAGAATCTTGAGACGCTCTTTCAGTTTGCTTTGATCCAGGTTCTGTAAAATAATACACTTGACTTAATACTGCTTCTTTGTCATTAAAGGAGAATACGAGACAATCGCAATAATTTGCTGGGTGAAAGATGAAGTCATCAGAAACATGTACCCCAACTTTTATTTAAAAAATATGGTTTATTATGTTTTTTATCGCGAAAACACTTTCTGTTATCTGAGCTTCGGCCATTATGCATATTCCGCTGGAACTCACGTGACCTTTCCGCTCGTGACGTCATACGTGACAAGCGTCCACCATATTGGCAAAGAACAAGCGCTACAGCAATACAAATCGTGTTGTTTCTGTCGTTTTTGTAAATGGTTCGATGGTGTATTCCGTTGCCTGGGGATCCACGGAATTATCGAACAATGGAAAGAGCCACCATTTCTTCCGTTTTCCAAGTAAAGAGACAGATTTAGGCAGGAGAAATGTTCCGATCTTTTGGAGTCGGACGCATATGTAAGAGGCTGAAGAAGGAAGAAGTATCCACGAGATTCGTTTATACTCCATCATTCCCTGTTACAACTTACTGTCAGTGGTATTTTTACCATAACTTAGATTAAAGTCCGATTGCCAGCCGAATTGGCCCCTGCTACAAATTGCCCCAGCAAATTTGGTCAAATTGCCCCGGAGTTTTGTTCAAATTACCCATGGGGGTAGTCAAAATGCCCGAATTTATTTAAAATGATTAAATTTAGTTCATAAATGCATAATTTTGTCAACTTTGATATTATGTTCTTCATATTAAGACATATTTAAACAATGACCTCATGAACTAAATATGTTTTTTTATCATTCAAACAATATGTTGTTTTTTTCTATTGTTAATTACTAATATCATTCTGTAACATAATAAGCTTAATAGTGTTACACTTACACCTGGTAATAAAAGTGTATTACGTGAAGTGATTCTGCACATTATTCTAGATGTATGATGAAGTCCTGTCAAAACTCAAATCTGGATTTGACATCGATCCACTGTCAAATATAAATAATTTATACTCCACTCAGGGTATGTTGATACGACGACATATAGGTAAACTGACCATGACTGACAGTGATCAGTGAAATGACAGAGTAATCATCGAAATGACTGGCAGTAATCAATGAAATGACTGACAGTGGTCGATGAATTGACTGACAGTAATCGCTGGAATGAATAATGATAAAGAATGACCCGATGACAATTACCTCTCCAGGAGATGACTCCCCCATCTGTACATACCTTGGCAGGTCTCACACATACCTGGCCAGGAGATGATTCCCCCATCTGTACATGCTTTGGTAGGTGTCACAGTTACCTGGCCAGGAGATGATTACCCCGTCTGTACATACCTTGGGAGGTCTCACAGTAACCTGGCCAGGAATGATTCCCCATCTGTACATACCTTGGGAGGTCTCACACTTACCTGGCCACTACATGATTCCCCCATCTGTACATACCTTGGTAGGTATCACAGTAACCTGGCCAGGAGATGATTCCCCCATCTGTACATACCTTGGTAGGTCTCACAGTTACCTGGCCAGGAGATGATTCCCCATCTGTACATACATTGGTAGGTCTCACACTTACCTGGCCAGGAGATGATTCCCCCATCGGTACATAACTTTGGAGGTCTCACAGTTACCTGGCCAGGAGATGATTCCCCCATCTGTACATGCTTTGGTAGGTCTCACAGTTACCTGGCCAGGAGATGATTCCCCCATCGGTACATAACTTGGGAGGTCTCACAGTTACCTGGCCAGGAGATGATTCCCCCATCTGTACATAACTTGGGAGGTCTCACAGTTACCTGGCCAGGAGATGATTCCCCCATCTGTACATGCTTTGGTAGGTGTCACAGTTACCTGGCCAGGAGATGATTACCCCGTCTGTACATACCTTGGTAGGTCTCACACTTACCTGGCCACTACATGATTCCCCCATCTGTACATACCTTGGTAGGTATCACAGTAACCTGGCCAGGAGATGATTCCCCCATCTGTACATACCTTGGTAGGTCTCACAGTTACCTGGCCAGGAGATGATTCCCCCATCGGTACATAACTTGGGAGGTCTCACAGTTACCTGGCCAGGAGATGATTCCCCCATCTGTACATACCTTGGTAGGTCTCACACTTACCTGGCCACTACATGATTCCCCCATCTGTACATACCTTGGTAGGTATCACAGTAACCTGGCCAGGAGATGATTCCCCCATCTGTACATACCTTGGTAGGTCTCACAGTTACCTGGCCAGGAGATGATTCCCCATCTGTACATACCTTGGTAGGTCTCACAGTTACCTGGCCAGGAGATGATTCCCCCATCTGTACAAACCTTGAGAGGTCTCACAGTTACCTGGCCAGGAGATGATTCCCCCATCTGTACAAACCTTGAGAGGTCTCACAGTTACCTGGCCAGGAGATGATTCCCCCATCTGTACAAACCTTGAAAGGTCTCACGCTTACCTGGCCAGGAATGATTCCCCATCTGTACTTACCTTGGTAGGTCTCACAGTTACCTGGCCAGGAGATGATTCCCCCATCTGTACAAACCTTGAGAGGTCTCACACTTACCTGGCCAGGAGATGATTCCCCCATCTGTACATACCTTGGGAGGTCTCACAGTTACCTGGCCACTACATGATTCCACCATCTGTACATACCTTGGTAGGTATCACAGTAACCTGGCCAGGAGATGATTCCCCCATCTGTACAAACCTTGAGAGGTCTCACACTTACCTGGCCAGGAATGATTCCCCATCTGTACATACCTTGGTAGGTCTCACAGTTACCTGGCCAGGAGATGATTCTCCGATCTGTACAAACCTTGAGAGGTCTCACACTTACCTGGCCAGGAATGATTCCCCATCTGTACATACCTTGGTAGGTCTCACAGTTACCTGGCCAGGAGATGATTCCCCCATCTGTACAAACCTTGAGAGGTCTCACACTTACCTGGCCAGGGGAGGATTCCCCTAACTGTACATACCTTGGTAGGTCTCACAGTTACCTGGCCAGGAGATGATTCCCCCATCTGTACATGCTTTGGTAGGTGTCACAGTTACCTGGCCAGGAGATGATTCCCCCATCTGTACATACCTTGGGAGGTCTCACAGTTACCTGGCCACTACATGATTCCCCCATCTGTACATACCTCGGTAGGTCTCACAGTTACCTGGCCAGAAGATGATTCCCCCGTCTGTACATAACTTCGGAGGTCTCACAGTTACCTGGCCAGGAGATGATTCCCCCATCTGTACATACCTTGGCAGGTCTCACAGTTACCTGGCCAGGAGATGATTCCCCCATCTGTACATACCTTGGTAGGTCTCACACTTACACTGGCCAGGAGTTGATTCCCCCATCTGTACATACCTTGGTAGGTCTCACAGTTACCTGGTCAGAAGATGATTCCCCCATCTGTACATACATTGGTAGGTCTCACAGTTACCTGGCCAGGAGATGATTCCCCCATCTGTACATACCTTGGCAGGTCTCACAGTTACCTGGTCAGAAGATGATTCCCCCTTCTGTACATACCTTGGTAGGTCTCACAGTTACCTGGTCAGAAGATGATTCCCCCATCTGTACATACATTGGTAGGTCTCACAGTTACCTATCCAGGAGATGATTCCCCCATCTGTACATACATTGGTAGGTCTCACAGTTACCTGGTCTCACAGTTACCTGGCCAGGAGATGATTCCCCCATCTGTACATACTTTGGTAGGTTTCACAGTTACCTGGCCAGGAGATGATTCCCCCATCTGCACATACCTTGGAAGGTTTCAAAGTTACTTGGCCACTACATGATTCCCACATCTGTACATACCTTGGTAGGTAACACAGTAACCTGGCCAGGAGATGATTCCCCCATCTGTACATACCTTGGGAGGTCTCACAGTTACCTGACCCGAAGATGATTCCCCAATCTGTACATACCTTGGCAGGTCTCACAGTTACCTGGCCAGGAGATGATTCCCCCATCTGTACATACTTTGGGAGGTCTCACAGTTACCTGGCCAGGAGATGATTCCCCCTTCTGTACATACCTTGGGAGGTCTCACAGTAAACTGGCCAGGAGATGATTCCCCCATCTGTACATACCTTGGGTGGTCTCACAGTTACCTTGCCAGGAGATGATTCCCCCGACCTGTACATACCTTGGGAGGTCTCACAGTTACGTGGCCAGGAGATGATTCCCCCACCTGTACATACCTTGGGAGGTCTCACAAAAATTCCCCGTGTTGTTGCCTACACAGCCCTGGACACAGTGTCCTGTTTGGAAACTACAGATGTTCTTCCTACAGTTCTTGCTGCAGGTCAGATGGCACCGGTAACCATACTTCCCAGGGAGGCATCCTTCTGAACATCTTCCACTCTGTTTGTCACAGTAAACTTTCTGCCCTTCATACGGGGCACAATAACGACTGCAGTTCAGTTTGCAGTTGTCTCCGTACATCCCTACAGGACACTCCTGTCCCCCTACACTTCCAACTGAAAGGGAGAGCAGGAGAATGGGTGAACCATATCAAAACTAGAAACAAAATACATTTATACAAACGTATTGAAATCTTTCTGTGTTTAAAACTTGTTTCACAACATTCGAAAGGGAAACTTAGTAATCAACACAATATGAAATTTGTCCGCATGACACCAGCAACCAGGGGTTCATCCTGGTTAGCTGCATAGCTCCTTCTCGGTCCCTCGCGAGAAATATCTGCATGCACTTACCATTGCTACCTTTCAGCTTTAAGCAGAAGACCACCTACACCTGCATGTCAACACTATGACGAGGGGCATGTATCTGTGAATGCCGCAGTAGTGTGTGGTTGTTTTACACACAATTCCATACTGAAAATGTCAGTTAAAGCTTTAATTTCATTAAGTTCAGCGTCAGTTGCTGTTAGTGCTGCACTGTACCAGTAGTTGATAAAAACTGTATGTTAACTGTATGTAGTTAGTTCACACAGCATTAACTTACCCAGTAGTAGGAATACCAGAAGTCTGTCCAACATTGTTCTTATGTCTGCATCATCCCTCCTGTAACAGTGACGTTGACGCGAGGCTGTCTGGTGAAGTGTTACACTCTGGGGTGGACCTTGACGTGCTACAGGAACAGCTGATGTTCACCCCTCCTGGTACAGTGACGTTGACGTGAGACTGTCTGGTGAAGTGTTACACTCTGGGGTGGACCTTGACGTGCTACAAGAACAGCTGATGTTCACCCCTCCTGGTACACTGACGTTGACGTGCGACTGTCTGATGAAGTGTTACACTCTGGGATTGACCTTGACGTGCCACGGGGGCTGATGTTCACCCCTCCTGGTACAGTGACGTTGACGTGAGACTGTCTGATGAAGTGTTACACTCTGGGATTGACCTTGACGTGCTACAGGAACAGCTGATCTTCACCCCTCCTGGTACAGTGACGTTGACGTGCGACTGTCTGGTGAGAGAATGATTGAATGAATGAATGAAACTCAACATACACAGACACCACTATGCAGATGATAGCACTCAAATGCAACCTAATACATGTCTAAAATGCCACATTTCAATTTCCTAGTGTCAAGACATGACCCTACATCGTGATTACGCTATATCCCATTATTCATACTTGATTTTCTTGTAATTTACAGTGTATGTATTTGTTTGATAACAAAATGCACCAGTACAGAGCATTCGTGGTATGTATATACAATCTTATGAAGGCACATTGACAGGCATACGAGTCAAGCTCGGTGATAGTACAGGAATAATCTGTATCCCCCTCCATACTCTGGTGTGTGTGTGTGTGTGCGTGTGTGTGTGTGTGTGTGAGTGTGCGTGCGTGCGTGCGTGCGTGTGTGCGTGCGTGCGTGCGTGCGCTCATGAGGTAATACTCACTTGATCTATTATTAATGGCACTTATTTGTAAAAGCAACAACATGTTAGCGTTATCTGTGCCGTTCATATGATTTGGTTGATATGTGTACATTATCGTCGGCAGATATACATCTACAGTTTATATGCACTCACTGGGACCGATGTCAGTAGAGACAGAGGGGAGATGCCTTGAACTGGTACAGAGCACATGCAGAAACAGGCTATAAATATCTGACGCATGCGCACACCATGTCAACATATAGACCCGGACACAGTTGAAACATAAAGTGGGCGATTCGTTGCTGCGTCTACCAACATTTGTGGTAATACGTACTTATATCGACAGCCATCTCAGGTTTTCAGTCACAACCCTTGGAAAAAAATACGCGAGGTTATCCCTATCGGTCTTTGATTTATTGAATAGGACTTCCAGCAGCTACGCAAAACCGCATCGCAGTTCTCGGTGTGTTCATGTCTTCTAAGTAGAACCAGTTCTCTCGACTATCCTTGAGAAGGAAATATAACAGATGGATAATATAACCACCATCGGCTGTACGCACATAGTCTCAGGAACAAAAATATTATTATCATAATATCGAGAAGAATTACAAACACTGTACAATATGTACACTGGTGTATTCACCCAGGACGTCAAGAAGTATTACAAACACTGTACAATGTGTACACTTACTGGGGTATCCCCCAGGACGCCATGAGATAATACAAACACTGTACAATGTGTATACTTACTGGAGTATCCTCCAGAACGCCATGAGATAATATAAACACTGTACTAAAAGTACATTTATTGGGGTATCCCCCAGGACGCCATGAGATAAAACAAACATTGTACAATGTGTACACTTACTGGAGTATCGCCCAGGACGCCATGAGATAATACAAACACTGTACAATGTGTATACTTACTGCAGTATCCTCCAGAACGCCATGAGATAATATAAACACTGTACTAAAAGTACATTTATTGGGGTATCCCCCAGGACGCCATGAGATAATACAAACATTGTACAATGTGTACACTTACTGGAGCATCCCCCAGGACGCCATGAGATAATACAAACACTGTACTAAATGCACATTTACTGGAATATCCCAAAGGACGCCATGAGATAATACAAACACTGTACAATGTGTATACTTACTGGAGTATCCCCCAGGACGCCATCAGATTATACAAATACTGTACAATGTGTACACTTACTGATGTATACCCCAGGACGCCATAAGAGAACACAAACACTGTACAATGTGTATACATACTGATGTATCCCCAAGGACGCCATGAGACAATACAAACACTGTACAATGTGTACACTTATTGGTGTATCCCCCTTGACACTTGAAATAATACAAACATTGTCCAATGTGTACACTTACTGGTGTGTCCCCCCAGGACGCCATGAGATAATACAAACACTGTACAATGTGTACACTTATTGTTGTATCCTCCAGGACACCTTGAGATAATACAAACACTGTACAATGTGTATACATACTGATGTATCTCCAAGGACAACTTGAGATAATACAAACACTGTACAATGTGTATAATTACTGGTGTATCCCCCAGGACGTCATGAGATAATACAATCACTGTACAATGGGTATACTTACTGTTGTATCCCCCAGGACGCCATGAGACAATACAAACCCTGTACAATGTGCACACAAACTGATGTATTCGCCCAGGACGCCATGAGATAATACAAACACTGTACAATGTGTATACTTACTGATGTATCCCCGAGGACGAAATTAGATAATACAAACACTGTACAATGTGTATACTTACTGTTGTATCCCCCAGGACGCCATGAGACAATACAAACACTGTACAATATGTACACTTACTGATGTATCCCCGAAGACGAAATTAGATAATACAAACACTGTACAATGTGTATACTTACTGTTGTATCCCCGAGGACGAAATTAGATAATACAAACACTGTACAATGTGCATACTTACTGTTGTATCCCCCAGGACGCCACGAGACAATACAAACACTGTACAATGTGTACACTTACTGATGTATTCGCCCAGGACGCCATGAGATAATACAAACACTCTACAATGTGTACACTTACTGATGTATCCCCCAGGGCGAAATTAGATAATACAAACACTGTACAATGTGTATACTTACTGTTGTATCCCCCAGGACGCCACGAGATAATACAAACACTGTACAATGTGTACCCTAACTGATGTATTCGCCCAGGAAGCCACGAGATAATACAAACACTGTACAATGTCTACAGCTACTGGGGTATCTCCCAGGACGCAACGAGATAATACAAACACTCTACAATGTGTACACTTACTTATGCATTCCCCAGGACGAAATTAGATAATACAAACACTGTACAATGTGTATACTTACTGTTGTATCCCCCAGGACGCCACGAGACAATACAAACACTGTACAATGTGTACACTTACTGATGTATTCGCCCAGGACGCCATAAGATAATACAAACACTCTACAATGTGTACACTTACTGATGCATGCCCCCATGACGCCATCACATAATACAAACGCTGTACAATGTGTTTACTTACTGATTTATCCCCCAGGACGCCATCACATAATACAAACACTGTACAATGTCTACAGCTACTGGGGTATCTCCCAGGACGCCATGAGATAATACAAACACTGTACAATGTGTATACTTACTGATGTATCCCCCACGACACCATGAGATAATACAAACACTCTACAATGTGTACACTTACTGATGCATGCCCCCATGACGCCATCACATAATACAAACGCTGTACAATGTGTATACTTACTGATGTATCCCCCAGGACGCCATGAGATAATACAAACACTGTACAATGTGAACACTTACTGATGTATCCCCCAGGGCGAAATTAGATAATACAAACACTGTACAATGTGTATACTTACTGTTGTATCCACCTGGACGCCATGAGATAATACAAACAATGTACAATGTGCACACTTACTCATGTATCCCCGTGGACACCATGGGATAATACAAACACTGTACAATGTGTACACTTACTAATGTATCCCCCAGGATGCCATGAGATGATACAAACACTGTACAATGTGTACACTTAATGGTGTATCCCCCATGATGCCATGAGAAGATACAAACACTGTACAATGTGTATACATACTGATGTATCCCCCAGGACACCATGAGATAATACAAACACTGTACAATGTGTATACTTACTGATGAATCCCCCAGGACACCATGAGATAATACAAACACTCTACAATGTGTACACTTACTGATGCATGCCCCCATGACGCCATCACATAATACAAACACTGTACAATGTGTACACTTACTGATGTATCCCCCAGGGCGAAATTAGATAATACAAACACTGTACAATGTGTATACTTACTGTTGTATCCCTCAGGACGCCATGAGACAATACAAACAATGTACAATATGTACACTTACTGATGTATCCCCCAGGACGAAATTAGAAAATACTAACACTGTACAATGTGTATATTTACTGTTGCATCCCCCAGGACGCCATGAGACAATACAAACACTGTACAATGTGTACACTTACTGATACATGCCCCCATGACGCCATCACATAATACAAACGCTGTACAATGTGTTTACTTACTGATGTATCCCCCAGGACACCATGAGATAATACAAACACTGTACAATGTTTACACTTACTGATGTATCCCCGAGGGCGAAATTAGATAATACAAACACTGTACAATGTGTATACTTACTGTTGTATCCACCTGGACGCCATGAGATAATACAAACACTGTACAATGTGTACACTTACTCATGTATTCCCGTGGACGCCATGAGACAATACAAACACTGTACAATGTGTACACTTACTGATGTATTACCCCAGAACACCATGAGATAATACAAACACTGTACAATGTGTACAGCTACTGGGGTATATCCCAGGACGCAACGAGATAATACAACAACTGTACAATGTGTATACTTACTGATGTATTCCCCATGATGAAATGAGATAATACAAACACTGTAGAATGTGTACACTTACTGATGTATCCCCCAGGACGAAATAAGAAAATACAAACACTGTACAATGTGGACACTTACTGATGTATCCCCCAGGACACCATGAGATAATACAAACACTGTACAATGTGTATACTTACTGATGTATTCCCCATGATGAAATGAGATAATACAAACAGTGTACAATGTGTATACATACTGATGTATCCACCAGGACGAAAATTAGAGAATACAAACACTGTACAATGTGTACACTTTCCGGTGTATCCCCCAGGATGCCATGAGAAGATTCAAACACTGTACAATGTGTACACTTACTGGTGTATCCCCCAGGATGCCATGAGATGATACAAACACTGTACAATGTGTACACTTCCTGGTGTATCCCCAGGATGCCATGAGAAGATTCAAACACTGTACAATGTGTACACTTTCCGGTGTATCCCCCAGGATGCCATGAGAAGATTCAAACACTGTACAATGTGTACACTTACTGGTGTATCCCCCAGGATGCCATGAGATGATACAAACACTGTACAATGTGTACACTTCCTGGTGTATCCCCAGGATGCAATGAGAAGATTCAAACACTGTACAATGTGTGCACTTACTGGTGTATCCCCCAGGATGCCATGAGATGATACAAACACTGTACAATGTGTACACTTACTGGTGTATCCCCAGGATGCCATGAGAAGATTCAAACACTGTACAATGTGTACACTTACTGGTGTATCCCCCAGGATACCATGAGATGATACAAACACTGTACAATGTGTACACTTACTGGTGTATCCCCCAGGATGCCATGAGATAATACAAACATTGTACAATGTGTATACTTACTGGTGTATCCCCCAGGATGCCATGAGATGATACAAACACTGTACAATGTGTACACTTACTGGTGTATCCCCAGGATGCCATGAGAAGATTCAAACACTGTACAATGTGTACACTTACTGGTGTATCCCCAGGATGCCATGAGAACATTCAAACACTGTACAATGTGTACACTTACTGGTGTATCCCCCAGGATACCATGAGATGATACAAACACTGTACAATGTGTACACTTACTGGTGTATCCCCCAGGATGCCATGAGATAATACAAACATTGTACAATGTGTATACTTACTGGTGTATCCCCCAGGATGCCATGAGATGATACAAACACTGTACAATGTGTACACTTACTGGTGTATCCCCAGGATGCCATGAGAAGATTCAAACACTGTACAATGTGTACACTTACTGGTGTATCCCCAGGATGCCATGAGATGATACAAACACTGTACAATGTGTACACTTACTGGTGTATCCCTCAGGACGCCATGAGATGATACAAACACTGTACAATATGTACACTTACTGGTATATCCCCCAGGACACCATGAGATAATACAAACACTGTACAATGTGTCCACTTCCTGGTGTATCCCTCAGGACACCATGAGATGATACAAACACTGTACAATGTGTACACTTCCTGGTGTATCCCCCAGGATGCCATGAGATGATACAAACACTGTACAATGTGTACACTTACTGGTGTATCCCCAGGATGCCATGAGAAGATTCAAACACTGTACAATGTGTACACTTACTGGTGTATCCCCAGGATGCCATGAGATGATACAAACACTGTACAATGTGTACACTTACTGGTGTATCCCCAGGATGCCATGAGAAGATTCAAACACTGTACAATGTGTACACTTACTGGTGTATCCCCAGGATGCCATGAGATGATACAAACACTGTACAATGTGTACACTTACTGGTGTATCCCCCAGGATGCCATGAGATAATACAAACACTGTACAATGTGTATACTTACTGGTGTATTCCCCAGGACGTCATGAGATGATACAAACACTGTACAATGTGTATACCTACTGGTGTATCCCCAGGATGCCATGAGATGATGCAAACACTGTACAATGTGTACACTTACTGGTGTATCCCCCAGGATGCCATGAGATGATACAAACACTGTACAATGTGTACACTTACTGGTGTATCCCCAGGATGCCATGAGATGATACAAACACTGTACAATGTGTACACTTACTGGTGTATCCCCAGGATGCCATGAGATGATGCAAACACTGTACAATGTGTACACTTACTGGTGTATCCCCCAGGATGCCATGAGATGGTACAAACACTGTACAATGTGTACACTTACTGGTGTATCCCCCAGGATGCCATGAGATGATGCAAACACTGTACAATGTGTACACTTACTGGTGTATCCCCAGGATGCCATGAGATGATACAAACACTGTACAATGTGTACACTTACTGGTGTATCCCCCAGGATGCCATGAGATGATACAAACACTGTACAATGTGTACACTTCCTGGTGTATCCCCCAGGATGCCATGAGATGATACAAACACTGTACAATGTGTACACTTACTGGTGTATCCCCAGGATGCCATGAGATGATACAAACACTGTACAATGTGTACACTTCCTGGTGTATCCCAGGATGTCATGAGATGATACAAACACTGTACAATGTGTGCACTTACTGGTGTATCCCAGGATGCCATGAGATGATACAAACACTGTACAATGTGTACACTTACTGGTGTATCCCCAGGATGCCATGAGATGATACAAACACTGTACAATGTGTACACTTCCTGGTGTATCCCCAGGATGCCATGAGATGATACAAACACTGTACAATGTGTACACTTACTGGTGTATCCCCCAGGATGCCATGAGAAGATTCAAACACTGTACAATGTGTACACTTACTGGTGTATCCCCAGGATGCCATGAGATGATACAAACACTGTACAATGTGTACACTTACTGGTGTATCCCCAGGATGCCATGAGAAGATTCAAACACTGTACAATGTGTACACTTACTGGTGTATCCCCAGGATGCCATGAGATGATACAAACACTGTACAATGTGTACACTTACTGGTGTATCCCCAGGATGCCATGAGAAGATTCAAACACTGTACAATGTGTACACTTATTGGTGTATTCCCCAGGATGCCATGAGATGATACAAACACTGTACAATGTGTACACTTACTGGTGTATCCCCAGGATGCCATGAGAAGATTCAAACACTGTACATTGTGTACACTTTCTGCGGTATCCCCCAGGACACCATAAAATGATAAAAACACTGTACAATGTGAACACTTACTGCTTTATCCGCACCACACCATGAGATGATACAAACATTGTACAATGTGTACACTTACTGGTGTATCGCCGAGGACGCCATGAGATAATACAAACACTGCACAATGTGTACACTTACTGATGTATGCCCCAGGACGCCAAGAGATAATACAAACACTGTACAATGTGTGCACTTACTGGTGTATTCCCCAGAACGCCATGAGATAATACAAACACTCTACAATGTGTACACTTACTGTTGTATTCCCCAGGACACCATGAGATAATACAAACATTGTACAATGTGTATACTTACTGATGTATTACCCCAGAACACCACGAGATAATACAAACACTGTACAATGTGTACAGCTACTGGGGTATCTCCCAGGACACCATGAGATAATACAAACACTGTACAATGTGTATACTTACTGATGTATTCCCCAGGACGCCATTAGATAAGACAAACACTGTAAAATGTGTACACTTACTTCGGTATCCCCAGCACACCATGAGATAATACAAACACTGTACAATGTGTACACTTACTGATGTATCCCCCAGGACGTCATGAAATAATACAAACACTGTACAATGTGTACACTTACTGGTGTATTCCCCCCAGGACGTCATGAGATAATACAAACAACGCAGATGGAAAGCTGCTGTTTAACTTTCACTTTGGTTACTCAGTACATAGACGTAACCTCAGCTGAGATATCGTAGTTATACACTGTGTGGTGTTTACTGTCCATCTACTGGTCACCTGTAGTTGGTCTCAGTGGATGTGACGAGTGACGAGTGACCAGACGATCTATCATAGAAACAAAAAACAACATTCCATACCCGTGATACATTCACCCAATGGGGAAGTCCCACTTGATCCGATTTGAAATGTCACGTCCAAGTAATATCGTTGGCGACGAGGAATACGCTGAGTTAAAGCTAAATGAATATAGTCAAAACAAACTTACGAGTACAAGATGAATGTCTGATACATCCGGAGTCTTTCCACGTCCAGACATGTCGCTAACCGACGATTGATCTGTGGTGTTTACAAATACCCTACTTTCGGTATTGTGAAACAGGGGAGACAATTTGTGTTCAATATACTTCCGTGTCACATACATGCATGCACTGGCATTGCTGTGGAGGTACGGTTCAATACGAATCAATAGAATAGTGAACGGAGTGTGTAAATGGTCTTTGTGGACATGGATGCATGTTCGTAGTATGGAATATCCACACACAGACACACACATCCATACATCCATACATCCATACATCATCATCATATATGCGCTTGAAAACAAATAATTAAAACAATGTATACTTTAAAAAGGTAATTATTTAATTTTTCAAACAAAATAAGAAATGCCCCTTTGCGTAATCTCCTTCCTTGCCACATGGAGGAGACCCTTCATGGATCATACCTTTCCTCCCTGTAACGTGGCACTGGCTGTCTTTCGTTCTTGCTGAGAGCCATGAAACCAGGCGCAGACTAAGGGCTGATACAGTTTGGCCTCACGACGACACAGACAAGCAATATCGTAATACTGACACACAGATGACAGCAAGTACATAGCTGACTTTATCCACCGCCGGCCGGGTAAACATCTAGTTACCTTGGACATTTCAAGTGACATTGCTGTAGCTGACAACTGTAACCAAAGCGTACATAAAATCCATGTATACCCAACATGGCCTTCATGCGGGTGACAGAGTGATTCTGTCGGTAGCAGGAGATATAACTATAGTGCAGGACTCGTGACCCAGATCCAAATGTCAGCTAAGTGCATGTTTCACTGTTGTGATGACATAGGGAGGGAGTCCCGTCAGTGGGCCCTTGACAGGCATAAACTGATAAACATAAATTGTTTAACTGTGAACATGGGTTTATTCAACCTCTCTCCAGTGGGATGAAATAGACGGCGGACACGCGTCACAATGTGATAGAGTGAGTGAGTGTGTTGGTGGTTGGTTGGGTGCGTGATTGAGAGTGCGTGAGGTGTTTTACTAATAGTAAAAAAAACACTGGGTGAAACATGGTAGGAGGTGCAAGCTCCGACATTGGCGAGGTGTGGCCACTCCCCACAAAATATACTCATATCATACTGGAACCTCCTGAAGTCACACACACCATACAGCTTCACTGTTTAGGGTTTATTCAGAGTAAAGTACTTCAAGTGAGAAGACAAACGTATAATCACAGCATGATGATATGGTAAACAAAACATACAGAACACTGGCTACAAAGATTTTACTGTAAAGGACAGCTACTGCCTTACAATATTTACACGGGGAATGTTATTAAGTTACTACAGAAATTGTTTACACTACAGAATCTGATATTTACTTGCTAAATTTAATGGAGACACGTTGATAATGACAATATGTACACATGTGTAAGTCACATAAACCGTGAACCGTTCAGTATAAACACAATTAGTTAGGGTGACACATTTGACACATTTGACAGAAGTTACATCCAGAGTGCCAGACAGAAAGTGATTGTGTTCGAATCCGACCTGCCTGCCACTCATGGTCTGTCATATCCGTGGTTGCTGGTTTCCTGTACCCGCATCACTCGGAGCTTTGCCAGGCCATGTAGAACACAACTCACCCAAGATGTGTTCGCAGCAACATTAATAACAACCCTAACACAACTAAATCCACTGAATTGTAGACCGTACTAACACGCATGTGCCGTACCACCACTATTCAAGAAGAAATTAGCTATAAATTAAATACACAATGAGAGCTGATAAACAAATGTGTAATATTTGATCTTTAAGGTTTTCAAATCAGAATATTTATTTACAAACGTATGTTCCAGGAATTAAATATCTGTATGATTTGATGGATTGTGTTGTGATAGCACTAGACAATCCCTTAACCTTTGTGTCTCGACCCGATACATTTACATATGAGGAAGTCGATACATAGTTCAGCTTGTTCAGAAATCTATTGCCTCACGTCCGATTACGTTTAAAACGGGTCTCCCGATGGATGGGTGATGATGCAAGCGAATGTGGCTGCTCTTAGTGATACATTATGTGACACAGGGACAGTTTGTACAGACACAGTGTTCATACAAATGTTCATGGAATGAAATTACGTTTAAAACGGTCATTAGCACATATACACGATGTTTGCCACAGTACAACTTTGTCTGTCTGATAGGAAGCCACACACGTCCAGTAATCATTTCATCCCTCACTGTGGAAGACAGGAAAGAGAGTTGGGGTCTGTATAGTGTAAAATATTACAACTTAAAAAACTCAGGGCTGTAGGACACACACACACACACACACACACACACACACACACGCACGCACGCACGCACGTACGCACACGCGCGCATTTTTGTAGTCTTACAGTGTGGATCTTTGAGTGAACTATGTCACTTGGATGTTGAGGAGCAAAAACCAGATAAAATACAGGCAGACAGTTTCTTTGCTTGAGATAGACTGGTTTCACATGAGAGTTAGCGCACACAGGAAGAAAACAATCTTGTAATTTACCGATTTCCTTATGAATAAACAATATGTATATTATATTTCCTATGTTACTTTCAAACAGAGATCACAACATCACACTGAAGTCAGTGGCAAGGGTTCATAAGACACAACTGATGTCCTTGACAAGGGTAGATAGACACAACTGATGTCCTTCTCAAGGGTTGATAGACACTAACTATTCTTCGTGTCAAGGGTTGATAGACACAACTAATGTCCTTGTAAAAGGTTGATAGATACTAACTATTCTTCGTGTCAAGGGTTGATAGACACAAGTGATGTCCTTGTCAAGGGTTGATAGACACAACTGGTTCTCCTATTCAAGTGGCGATATGTACCCGACAGACGATCTAGGACGAGAGACATGGCCGCCCTTCCTAAGTTCAGTGTACGAGCCTCTTCCTGACTTATCCTTGACACCAGTCATCAGTTCTCCAGGGAAGTAGTCTGCTACAACAGGAATGCCTGGAGCCTCCTCCCTACCGGTGCCTTGGTTCTGGTCTGGTTCCTCAATATCCTCCTCTCTGATGTCCTCGTAGTGATGTAGCTCCAGGTAGTCGTGGATGGCGATGTCAGCCTGCTCCAGCTTAGCTTCCAGTTTCTGATCATCAACTTTATTCCTGTAACAATCCCATTTAAGGTTATTGGATATTTTCTCTATGTACATGATTGAAGTATATTACACGATTACAACATACGGGAGATTGATGGGGCAATGGACGACAGCTGAACGTAAGCTGATAAGTTACATTACTATGCTTTAGTCTGTGTACATATCAGATTCTACCTATTTGTCATAAGTGAGTGTGGATGGGTGAGGTTTACACCGCACTCAAAGTGATGCAGGAACCCTGTGTCGAACCCATGGGGAGCAGACTGTCAAACTGAGAATAACATTCAGGCAGAATGCCAACATAATCGGAATCTCACACGACCATGGGGCACAACTCTGCTCTGATGACTGTCAGACGTCATCGTGGTAGACCACTGAGTATACTGCTTGCTCAAAATCGTGTTGCGAATTTCAACTGACCGTGTGTGACACATTCCTTTACGATAGCAGATGTAGCCAGCGGTACATGCAGCCAGGATGATGAAGACGACAAGCACAACCGATGTCACCGTGACGGCGTTGGAGGCATCAGACACTGGTTCCCCTGGAAGATGAATCAATGGTTATACTTACACATTTCACAGTTGTCTACGAAGCAATCACACCGCAAAACAGGGAATCAAGGTCGCATTAAAATCACCATAATAGTCTGCGTGATATTAGTTACAGATGCAGCAAAGATGGTTGGGGTATTCCTAGTATTTATTGTTACTATCTTTGTTGTTGTAATCAATATCAATATTTAGAACAAAGCTCCATGACATGCGATTTGTGATCTTTGATATGCGTGACATGTAACATTTTTGAAAGGACTTGAACACATAGGCGAAGGAATACAGAACATCGTGAACATAACTATTTTACGTCACATGTGTGTGTCACATGTACGAGATCTGGTACCTACGACTGAAGATGTGTACCTTGTTCACACGATCCAGACGGACAATCAGATGTCCGGCAGTTGTCTGTACAGTTGTCGCCGCACATGGATCCAGTCGAGTTGCATCCCTGTACACAGGCCCCGGATGTCATATCACAAACACCACCAGCACACCCGTCACACCCAGTGATACAGGATGTGTTACATGCTTCCTTGAGGCATTTCCCACATCCTACAACACACGCACCTGCCTGGTTACATCTCCGGTGCTGGCAGTTAGAGTTGCATCGCCGTGAACACTTGGGGCCATACCAGCCATCAACACAACCGTAGACACACTCACCAGTCTGGCTGTGACACTCAGGTGGACACGAATCTCCATCTGGACATTGTCCACCCGTGGTCAGGGAGGGATTAGGTCGACAGGTGTCACTGCATGCTTCAGTACAGTCGTCTCCATAGAAACCGTGTCTGCATCCATGTATACAGCCACTCTCACATCCTCCGACACAGTTCTCACATGAGTGTCTACACTCTACTCCAGAATAAGGAGGGTGACACTCCTCACAGGTGCCTGTGATCTTGTTGCAGGACTTACATCTGCTGGAACATGTCTTACATCCTGCTCCGTAGTAGGAGTGGCTGCAACCAGAGAAACAGGCTCCAGCCACCTGACAATACTCCCCATCACATCCACCTGGGCACCTGGTACAGCCTACCTGGAGAGTGTCACATGGCCTCTGACAGGTGAGACCCTGGAATCCAGGTACACAACCATCAGTACATCTCCCAATACCTTTGTCATGGTGCAGTTCACACGTGTGGTACCTGCACCTGCTGCTGCAATCATCCTGGCAGTTGGGGCCGAAATATCCTCTGTGGCACTTGGTACTGCATCGACCTGTCTGTTCATCACACTCAGTACAATGCTGGGTGTCGGGACATTTAGCACCTGTGAATATAATCCCCTAATATATAACTGACTAATCTTAAACATATTTCTGAAGTGCTCATAAGTTCTACTTGTATACAGTTACCATCGTCCTGAGCAATACATCTGTACAATATGTGAGAGGATCATGGCGGTCTTGCTTTATATGCCCACATGGTCATGAAATAAAATACTACGATCCCCAAAAGACATTTCCCAATCCAGTGACATACAGTAGGTAAGATGTACCACAGATCGTCAAATGAAGCAGTTTCAATCAACGCATAAGAGACAGATGTCAGATTACGAAGTGTTATGTCTGTAAAGTCCTGTGTATGTGTACATGGAACCAATAGCTAATACTTGTACTTGGACGTAACCATAATAACTGTAATGAATATGAACAGATTACATACCCTGCTTACAGTCTGCATTTGAAACATACACAACCACGCTGATATGAAGCCTTCCTGCCAGGAACCTATGTTTATGGCTTGGAATCCCAGATTCTAGGTAAGAACAATGTTCATGGCTTTTTGCCAAGGTGACACGCATCCAAGATCAGACTTTGCTTCCATGATCAGATTTACACGTCGACTTACAACTGTTAGAAGTTGCATTAAACTAAACCCATTCACTACCTCACTCACATAATGATGACACGATTTACTTGTATACCAACTCACTCTTTCCTTACCTTGTGAGTAAATGACTATATACGCCGTGACTACGAGCTGAAGGAATGGCATGGTGTACCTGAAACTTCAAGAGAACTGTTGACTAAAGTTCGGTTTTGTTCATGCACTGGAAGGCAGGACTCAACAAATAGTATCAACAACATCCGCAACTAAAAACGAAAAAATGTACTTACTTTTGACTAAACCTATAAAACATCCTCGCTCGTTCGAACACGATATGCACAATGTGTTTGTTTGAAGGCCCGATACTGGATTGGCTGACACTAGTTTCACTGTTAGGGTCAGCTCGTTTCGGCTTCCTGGTAATTAATGATAGTCATTGATAGAGCACCAAAACAATAGAGAGCAATGTCAAGGCGACCTGTATGATGTGTCTGTTTGTTACAGACTGTGCGAGTCGTCTCCTGGTCCCATGGTTGTGTGTAGCGGCAGGCTCTCCTCCCATTTGGAGTTCATCTTTTCAAGCACAAAACGAAAGTACTCCATGGTTGGTTGAAGATGTCCAACCAATTATTTAGGGGAGAATCACATTTTCCCCCAACCAAAGTAACAAATTTGAAGGATCACTAACATTCTCGCCATTACCTTATATCATTATTTAGCTGTAATGTAAGCCTCAGTAAGTGAATGATATTTCTCTCGGTAGTCAGCCATAGCTGTATTACACTACCAGGGACTGACTCTCTCTGCTGTGGGTAGTTGCGATCAACGCTGTACTTTCAATTCCCTGTTATGACAGTCAGGATATCTGGTAGCATGACGGAGGAAGGACATGCCTACGTCAATATATACAAACGTAACGTTAATCACCGGTTATATTGTGGAGAATCAAATTGGGAATAGGTTTGCAACAACCACGACGGATTGAATCACACTCGACATTATGCAATTCAATGTTTCACACACTCGCACGAATTCCTTGTTTTATTCCATCCTCTTACTGATGTCACATGAGTCAGAAGGAACGTATTATATAAAATTATTGTAGTTTCTCTTTCGGTGTCAAGTTCTTTTTCCTGATAAAATATACAGCAGTGTGTTTAGGAAACGAACTAAGCATTTACGAGTACTTTCCCAGTAGAGTCAGCATAACCAATAATTATCTGCCGTTGTCATCTACTTCACATCACAACAAGCACAAACCCGATGTAGTGTAAAGTATACTAACCAAGAATTATCTGCCCTTGTCATCTACTTCACATCACAACAGGCACAAACCCGATGTAGTGTAAAGTATACTAACCAAGAATTATCTGCCCTTGTCATCTACTTCACATCACAACAAGCACAAACCCGATGTAGTGTAAAGTATACTAACCAAGTATTATCTGCCGTTGTTATCTACTTCACATCACAACAAGCACAGATGCGATGTATTGTAAAGTATACTAACCAAGTATTATCTGCCGTTGTCATCTACTTCACATCACAACAAGCACAAACCCGATGTATTGTAAAGTATACTAACCAAGAATTATCTGCCGTTGTCATCTACTTCACATCACAACAAGCACAGATGCGATGTATTGTAAAGTATACTAACCAAGTATTATCTGCCCTTGTCATCTACTTCACATCACAACAAGCACAAACCCGATGTAGTGTAAAGTATACTAACCAAGAATTATCTGCCGTTGTCATCTACTTCACATCACAACAAGCACAAACCCGATGTAGTGTAAAGTATACTAACCAAGAATTATCTGCCGTTGTCATCTACTTCACATCACAACAAGCACAGATGCGATGTATTGTAAAGTATACTAACCAAGTATTATCTGCCCTTGTCATCTACTTCACATCACAACAAGCACAAACCCGATGTAGTGTAAAGTATACTAACCAAGAATTATCTGCCCTTGTCATCTACTTCACATCACAACAAGGACAAACCCGATGTAGTGTAAAGTATACTAACCAAGAATTATCTGCCCTTGTCATCTACTTCACATCACAACAAGAACAAACCCGATGTAGTGTAAAGTATACTAACCAAGAATTATCTGCCGTTGTCATCTACTTCACATCACAACAAGCACAGATGCGATGTATTGTAAAGTATACTAACCAAGTATTATCTGCTGTTGTCATCTACTTCACATCACAACAAGCACAAACACGATGTAGTGTAAAGTATACTAACCAAGTATTATCTGCTGTTGTCATCTACTTCACATCACAACAAGCACAAACCCGATGTAGTGTAAAGTATACTAACCAAGAATTATCTGCCCTTGTCATCTACTTCACATCACAACAAGGACAAACCCGATGTAGTGTAAAGTATACTAACCAAGTATTATCTGCTGTTGTCATCTACTTCACATCACAACAAGCACAAACCCGATGTAGTGTAAAGTATACTAACCAAGTATTATCTGCCCTTGTCATCTACTTCACATCACAACAAGCACAAACACGATGTAGTGTAAAGTATACTAACCAAGTATTATCTGCCGTTGTCATCTACTTCACATCACAACAAGCACAAACCCGATGTAGTGTAAAGTATACTAACCAAGAGTATTATCTGCCCTTGTCATCTACTTCACATCACAACAAGCACATACCCGATGTAGTGTAAAAGTATTACTAACCAAGTATTATCTGCCCTTGTCATCTCTACTTCACATCACAACAAGCACAAACCCGATGTAGGTGTAAAATTATACTAACCAAGTATTATCTGCCGTTGTCATCTACTTCACATCACAACAAGGACAAACCCGATGTAGTGTAAAGTATACTAACCAAGAATTATCTGCCCTTGTCATCTACTTCACATCACAACAAGCACAAACACGATGTAGTGTAAAGTATACTTACCAAGAATTATCTGCCCTTGTCATCTACTTCACATCACAACAAGCACAAACCCGATGTAGTGTAAAGTATACTAACCAAGTATTATCTGCCCTTGTCATCTACTTCACATCACAACAAGCACAAACACGATGTAGTGTAAAGTATACTAACCAAGTATTATCTGCCCTTGTCATCTACTACACATCACAACAAGCACAAACACGATGTAGTGTAAAGTATACTAACCAAGTATTATCTGCCGTTGTCATCTACTTCACATCACAACAAGGACAAACCCGATGTAGTGTAAAGTATACTAACCAAGTATTATCTGCCGTTGTCATCTACTTCACATCACAACAAGCACAAACCCGATGTAGTGTAAAGTATACTAACCAAGAATCATCTGCTGTTGTCATCTACTACACATCACAACAAGCACAAACCCGATGTAGTGTAAAGTATACTAACCAAGTATTATCTGCCGTTGTCATCTACTTCACATCACAACAAGGACAAACCCGATGTAGTGTAAAGTATACTAACCAAGTATTATCTGCCCTTGTCATCTACTTCACATCACAACAAGGACAAACCCGATGTAGTGTAAAGTATACTAACCAAGAATCATCTGCTGTTGTCATCTACTACACATCACAACAAGCACAAACCCGATGTATTGTAAAGTATACTAACCAAGTATTATCTGCCGTTGTCATCTACTACACATAACAACAAGCACAAACCCGATATAGTGTAAAGTATACTAACCAAGTATTATCTGCCGTTGTCATCTACTTCACATCACAACAAGGACAAACCCGATGTAGTGTAAAGTATACTAACCAAGTATTATCTGCCGTTGTCATCTACTACACATCACAACAAGCACAAACACGATGTAGTGTAAAGTATACTAACCAAGTATTATCTGCCGTTGTCATCTACTTCACATCACAACAAGGACAAACCCGATGTAGAGTAAAGTATACTAACCAAGTATTATCTGCCGTTGTCATCTACTACACATAACAACAAGCACAAACCCGATGTAGTGTAAAGTATACTAACCAAGTATTATCTGCCCTTGTCATCTACTTCACATCACAACAAGCACAAACACGATGTAGAGTAAAGTATACTAACCAAGTATTATCTGCCGTTGTCATCTACTTCACATCACAACAAGCACAAACCCGATGTAGTGTAAAGTATACTAACCAAGTATTATCTGCCGTTGTCATCTACTTCACATCACAACAAGCACAAACCCGATGTAGTGTAAAGTATACTAACCAAGTATTATCTGCCGTTGTCATCTACTACACATCACAACAAGCACAAACACGATGTAGTGTAAAGTATACTAACCAAGTATTATCTGCCGTTGTCATCTACTACACATAACAACAAGCACAAACCCGATGTAGTGTAAAGTATACTAACCAAGTATTATCTGCCGTTGTCATCTACTACACATCACAACAAGCACAAACACGATGTAGTGTAAAGTATACT